GCGGCTATTTAGAGATCGTCGAGAAGTTCCTCGCAGCCAAAGCCGACGTAAATGCTGTTGGTGGTTATACGGGTCGTACTGCATTACAAGCAGCTGTAAAAGGCGGCCATCTAGAAATCGTCGAGAGGCTTCTCGCAGCCAAAGCCGACGTAAATGCTACTGGTGGTTATAGGGGTCGTACTGCATTACAAATAGCTGCAGGAGGCGGCTATTTAGAGATCGTCGAGAAGCTCCTCGCAGCCAAAGCCGACGTAAATGCTACTGGTGGTTATACGGGTCGTACTGCATTACAAGCAGCTATAAAAGGCGGCCATCTAGAAATCGTCGAGAGGCTTCTCGCAGCCAAAGCCGACGTAAATGCTGCTGATGATAAGGGTTATACTGCATTACAAGCAGCTGTAGAAGGCCGCCATCTAAAAATCGTCGAGAGGCTTCTCGCAGCCAAAGCCGACGTAAATGTTGCTGATGATAGTTATGTGGGTCGTACTGCATTGCAAATAGCTGCAGGAGACGGCTATTTAGAGATCGTCGAGAAGCTCCTTGCAGCTAAAGCCGACGTAAATGCTACTGATCGTTATCTGCGTTGTACTGCATTACAATTAGCTGTAAGAGCCGGCCATCTAGATATTGTCGAGAAGCTGCGGCAGGCGGGTGCGCGCGAGCAAACTTTCATTCAAGATTGAGGTGTTGAGATAAGGTGGCCACCCTAGCCACGAACTACCTACGTATGTACCTAGCTATCTCAGTAACGCGACGCGGAGAATTTACAAGGTACCAACTCCAGAATAGCATTCTCTAACCTTTAGCATTACTCAACCCAGCTTCGTAGCCGTCCGGGGTGCGGATACGAATGGTATATCTTAGCAACATGCCCGGATCGTACTGTAACCAAAGGTTTCAAAACAAAGCGAGCTTTCAAATTAAAGTATATATCAAACTACGAGCTCAGAAACGAGCTGGGAGTATGATTATTAAGTAGCGAAGAACCTAGCAGGCCAGATTGCGAGTAATTCGGTTATATGCTCGAGGTTTATGCGTTATATTGAGAGGGTCTTTTCGGAATAGGTGGGAAGGTATAACATCGATGAGAAGAATGTGTTCTGAGAGGGATTCCCCAAGTTGAACCTTTACTAACGGTACAGCTGGAAATATATTCCTAAGAAAGTTCCGTATCATCCCGTAATGCCATAATGAATTGAGGTGTCGTTACACTATAGTTACAAGTAGTTGGTTACTGTTGTTTCGTGGCTTATGGGCAGCTATTCAAGCTATGATGTACCGCCCCCACCATCTTTCTTCGCCTGACTCCCCTCCCACACCGTAGTCTCGACCATAAAACTCCCTTTCCTGTCCTGACATCTGCCTCTCAACAATCAGCCTCATCTTATCCACGTAGAGAAAGTCGTAATTGATAAGAGAAGACAAGCTCACCGGCGAAACCACCGCTGCACGGGCCAGCACCGCACCGGGCTGTCGGCGATCTCGGGCCGGTCGATCTGGCACTCGTACTGCACCATCGAGAAGAGCTCGCACGCCGACAGGTCGACCCGCTCGCCCTTTCGTCGCTTGCCGTTGGCGTCGACCTGGACCTCGGCCTCGAGCTGGGTGGCGGGGAAGACGCGGCACGGCGGTGTCATCGCTGCGTTGGGTTCATGAGACTAGGTGCCTTGACGAGTGGTGGGGTGAGAGGTGCGAAGTGAGAGGGTAGAAAGAATGGATGCGGCGGCGGCTAAACACGTCGGGGCTCGATTGCTCGGCGAGGTCGAAGAGGGAAGTTTGGAAGAGGTACGTCCGTTTCTCTTATCTCGATTTTATTATGAATGTAGTTGTGATGAGTGATGAAAGTTGAAAGTTCATCCCGGTCAATTGAGCATGAAGTTGTCAAGTCTTATCTTATCGCCGCCATTTACCCTCACAACCCCTTACTTTCATCATGAGGCTCAACGTATATACTAACAAAACTACATGACAGCTTCTCGACGCTTTACGTACCAATCTCACGGGCGGGCCTTCTAGTATCCGCCCACAGATACCTATCCCGGGTCTCGCTAGCATCGCTACCAAGTACCACAAAGCGACGCAATCCGCGCCGCCGCCGGTCCTCTCCGTGACCGGGCGTTACTTACCATTGCTCTACCACCTGATCTCGACTCTCATCGCCGAGCCGCACAACTACACCGTAGTCGTCGTGGACACGGAGAGCCGCTTCGACGTGACCCATCTCATCTCGTCGTCCTCCTCTCCCTCGCCTAACCCCCCTGACTCCTCTACTTCTGCTCACCACAGCCACATCCCCAGCTACCCAGCGCAGCTCTCCGACCTTCGGCACGTCCACGTCTACCGCCCGGCGCGGGGGCAGTCGGCGCTCCGAGCCGCCGTGGACGCGGCGCAGGAGTGGATGGTGTACGGGGCGCACGGCAGCCGGGCGCGCGAGTGGTGGGGCACGGTGGTGATCGGGACGGGGGCGGGCGCGGGCAGCATCAAGGGGGACGTGAACGCCGGGTGGAAGGGCTGGCTAAGGGTGGACAGGGAGGAGGTGGCTGGGTTCCCGGCGGGGATCAGCGCGGAGGAGGCGCTGCGGGATAGGGGCAAGAGGCAGGAGGTTGTGGAGGGGGCGGGCTGGGTGGCGGGGTCGAGGGTTGGGGGGTATGCGTGGAAGGGGGCGTAGTTGCTCTTTTGTATGAAACGTGTTTAACTGTTGAATGACTACAGCGTCGTATGTTCGAGCAGTCTGGCTTGGACTCTGCTGAGCATATGTAGACTCATCATCACGAAGGGTTCATGTTCATCGACATACTCATGCTTGTGAGCTTAGATTACGGGGCTATACTAGGTTGACAGAATAGTCGGCTAGATTATCATATACACAATTCATTATTGTCAATGTGGAATAAAAGTAGTATAAGTTGCTGAATCCATTGGCATATGATATGATATGACACCGTGTAAATAAGAAAAATAGCATATTGCATAACAGATTACGTGTGTGCGATGTAAGCAATTAGGTGGGAGGTTAGCTTTGGTTGGGGGGTGAGGGGCATTTTTTACTCAGCAGGTTACGTAGCCTCTCACCGAAATCTGACACTTTTTAGAATCTTAATCTTTACACCAACGGTCAAACGAAGCTGACCACTACATACACAGACGGTCGGAGGCTTGTCTTAGTCCTTTACCTATTATTGATAGTAAAGGTGTACACGAACTAAGGCAAGAAAGATGGCGACCCCTTCGCATGGATACGGTGCTCTAGGACCAATTCAACAATACAATCAGCTCTCCTTTTCGCCAATTCCCCTGCCGCAACAAGCACAGCATCTTCATCACCAACCTCAGCATCAACAGAATCTGCAATCACAACAACAGCATCCACAACAACAACACCATAATACTCATCCGCAACCGCATCACCAACCTCACCACCAACTACAACAACAACGTCAACCCTCCCAAACCACGACACCGGTACCTGCTCCTACTTATCAACCACCACCGGCTTTACCACCCACCAATAATACCAATGCCAATGCCAATGCCAATGTCAATGGCGCCGTACAGCAGCAGAATGCCAATGCTAACGCTAGCTCACACGTCGCACCCTCTACTACCACGGCACCCCCTCCTACCGCGCCTACGACGACAACAACTGCCCCTGCCGCCGAACCCCAACCCAAACGCCGTCGCGTAGGTCGTCCGTCTAAGTGGCAGACAGCCCGCGACTATCAAGCCCAACGAGCAGCCTCCGGACTCCCTCCTCCGCCGCCTCCTCCCCAGGTCCACACGCCGCACCCCTTGAGTCGAGGACCCTACAACACGGCCGAGGACGCCACCTTCAGCCTCCAGCTGCACGTCTTCACCTCGGGCTACGGCGTGTCGCAGAAGCGCACCGTCAAGGAGAAGCTGCCGTCGGGGCGGTACGATCCCGAGGGCGAGGTGATACGGCGGGACTTTGCCTGCGACCGCGGCGGCAGCGAGTTCGTGTCGCAGAGCACGGGCGAGCGGCGGCGCGAAAGCAAGAAGTGCGGGTGTCCGTGGCGCGCCGTGTCGCGGCGGCTCAAGCGCGAGGGCGACCTGTGGTTCGTCGAGATCCTCGAGCCCAACCACAACCACCCCGTCACCCCGCCCGACCAGATGCACACCATCGCCTCGTACCGCCGCTGGCAGAAGGACAACAACGCCGGCATCCGCGGCGCCATCGACCGCCTGACCAGGGCTGCGGCTATGCCCGCGCGCCAGGTCGCGTCGTATCTGAAAGGCGAGTACGCCGATCCCGAGCTCGACCGCATCGATAGACATATCCTGCGCGCCCTGAGCATGAGCGACGTCGAGGTCCAGAGCGATGCGGCGAGCCAGAACGCTACCGTGTTCGAGATTGTCGGGAAAAGGCCGACGATTATACTGCAGGAGGGTATGGGGGGTCCGGGGGCCGGCGTGGGGGATGGGAATGTGAATATGAATGTGGGTGCGGCTGCGAATGCGATTGTGAACCGCTATTAAGAATGGTACCTATCCCTTGTCTGAAGTTTTTGGTGATGTATTGTCCGAGTTCATTGCTGGAGGGTGGTGAGGTGTGGCTAGACAGACATGATATTATGAGAGGCTATGATATCCTACAGTACGAGAGGCAGCAAACCAGTATAGCTCGGTCGCGAGCTCTAGGTAGTGTTCGGGAAAAGTACTTTGCATTTGAAAAATACCCCTATAGTTATCAATAGACGATACTCGCTGCTACTATGCTCACTGCTTCGTCTCCATTTTGTGCTCTTGCCTGTCTGTTTAATTGAGTGCTGGGACTCAAGGAGCTTTCTGCTCCAAGTCACACCAGAGCAAGGCAGTAAAAATCATCAATCATGCAAACTCGTGCAAATCATCTGCTGCTCGATGCCACTGGCATTGACAGGACTTTTATTAACATGAAGCTGATAGCCATGCTCAACTGTAAAGGGTAGATCGTTTGGGACAGCAACGCAATACCTTATATTCAACTGTCAGCACACAACATGAGGTCGGTAGTGTAGTGGTAGCACGTTCCATCAATACGCAATTTTAAGCAAACACCTCATATGATGTTGGCGTTGGAAAAGTCGTAGGTTCAAATCCTGCCTGGGCTAGATTTTTGTTCTCTTCCCTATCTCCTATGCCTGTTCATATTGTGTCAATATTCAGCGGGCATGGGGATCGGAACGAAGACACAGGGGGAAATAAAACGATGAAGAAAATAATCATAGAAGAAAAATCACAAGCACATCACATCGCAGCCCAAATCATAAGTCTCAAGTTATGCTTAGTTTAGTGCGAATCTCTTCATCTCGCAAAATAGGTATCAATCGCATCTTCTATCGATCCCGTCCATCACGGACGTTGGAAGTTTTCCTTGAATTGGATATAACTATCATAGCAATCAACTCTTCCCTCTCATCCATCCCTTCCTTATCAAGTCAAAGCGGGAAAAAACAAACAAAGTCATTCATGCATTCCAATAGAAGGATCTCCGGTGCTATGCTTTCAAACAACAAATGCGACATGCTCTCACCCCCCCGATGCAAATGCGAATGCCCCCTCCCTCCTTGCTTCGTACCCCCCTGATTATTAATATAGTATGGCTTTTTCTTTTTCCTGTCGCGGAGACGACCCTTGTAAGATGGAATGTGGTTATGGTTGTGGTAGTAGAAGTAGTAGTAGACGAGAAAACAGCAGTACCACCTAGACCGAGGCTGACGTGGACGCCACCGCCGAAGTCGATGCCAACGCGAAAGGCGAACCCGAACCCGAAGTCGTAGCGGTAGTCTCGAAAGTGCCGTCTGGTTTCTTGCGGATGCACGTAGCGCAGACGACCAGGACCTTCCTGCCCGAGTCGCGGTTCTTAACGCGTTCGTGGTACTCCTTGAGGCACTCGAAGCCCGAGCCGCCGTCGCCGAACTCGCACTGCCCCGGCGTGCGGATCATGTCGTTGAGGACGGGCCAGAACGCGTAGTCGGCGAGCGACATGTACGGCCCCGCGATGAAGTCGTGGCCCTCCTTGGCGTAGTTCTCCCACACCTTCAGCTCGCTCGTGAAGGCTTTGGTGTCCGCGATCTCTCGGTACTGGTCCAGCAGCGCGAGACCCTGCTGGAAGCGAGTGAATTCCGCTGCGACGTTCCGGCGGCTGAGCGCAGACGGGTCGGGCTGTGCGTTCTGCCCGTAGAAGCGGTCTAGATACAACATGATCGCCAGCTCGCCCTGCACCGTCGTCTTCTGAGAGTCGCTGTCGACGAACTTGATGGGGTAGCTCTTCTCGGCCGTGTCCTTCCAGCTGAACTGCAATAGTCCCATGCTGCCTCGCGCATAGTTAATGCCGAGCTCGGCTAGCATCAGCTGGACGCGCATGTTGATCACCGGGTCGGCGGACAGGAATAAGCGAGGCGATACGGAGATGTGTAGGACGTCGAAGCCGTTTCCGTAGTACTTGTCCCAGTCGAATTCGGTGAGGTTATTCTCGCGGCCGAAAGCCTTCAGCATCTCCTGCGCCTCCACCGATTGTCCGTTGATCACATTGCGCGCGCTCTCCCTAGTCTTGGACGTGGCCCCCTGGCCCCAGATGAAGCAGTGATCGCGGTCCAGATAAGTCCCAATCTGACGGAAAGTGAGGGAGATGCGGCCGCCGTCGAACGCCAGTTCCTCGGGGGACTTTTCGGCGTCGCGTCTCTTGTCCGGGCGGATGCCGTGCTGCCACTTCTCGTTGGTCTTCAGTCCCATCTGGCACAGCGAGTTGTGCGGCAAGGACGTGCGGATGATCTGTCGCTTCGCAGGCTCCTCCCGCGGGGGCTCCAGGGCCGTCATCAGCGCCGCGTTCCTGATCTTCGGCGTGCGCTTAGTGCGGAACATCATGACGCGCTCGGCGCCCAGGCTGACGTTGGCGATGTACGTGCCCTTGGCGATGTCCAGCGTCTTGTCGGAATGCTCCGAGATATAGTCCTCGCCATTCCGGTACAGCTGGATGAGGACGTGGTTGAGGTCGTGGCCGAGCTGCTTCTCGACGACTTTCTTGATCTCCAGCACGGTAGGGGTGAAGGGCAGCAGAGGCGGTGCCTCGTCTGCGGGGTGTCGGTAGATTGGCATGCTGCCGTCGGCTTCGACTTGGCCTTGGACGGCCACGAGTCGAGGTACCTCGCCCCCTTGGTGAGACATGGCTTGGAATTTGACTTCGTCCTGGATTTTCTGAAAGATGTCGTCGAGGAGGTCGTCGGGGAGGATGTTAAGCACGATCTTGGTATCACCTTCGGCTAGAGGATGACTCTCCCTGCGCTTCTTCGAGGGTTCGGGTGTCATGGTGCTGGCGCTGGAGTTGGTGTTGGCGTCCATGGTTGATGTCTTGGAAATTTCGGGTGGTGGTACTTCTCTAGATTCTGTAGGTTCTATACTTTCCTTACTCGATATTGGACTCGTGGATTCTGCTGCTGCTTTGGTATTTTCTTTGGTATTTTCGGATGAGTTAGAATTATCTGCTGTAGCTGCAGGTGAGTGATCTCGGCTGTCTTTTAATCGAGCAGTGCTTGAAACAGTCGTGTTTTGTTCCTTGTCCAGAGGTTCCAGAGGTCGTATATCTGAAATGTCCCGAGAAGTGACCTTGTCCTGGTAAACAATTTTATTGCTAAGGGTTGCTGTCGCCCAATTTTCTTTATTACTCTCCGTCGGTGGCTGTGCATCATTACTATGACTGGGTGACTCATTCTCTTCCGGTGTCGGTGGCCGCCTGTCTACGTCGTTCACAACTAACGTCGGGGCTGGCTGCTCGGCATCTGACACCGGAGGACTCTGCGCTCTCGTCGGGCTCACCAAGGGTTGAATCGGCAATGGGAGATCTTGCGTAGGTGCTTCGAGCTCGGGAGTATCGGCTGCACGCTTAGGACTTAGCGACAGGTTCTCAAACGACGATAGGATATCTGAGGCCGAGGACGCAGCGGAATCGTCCTCTACCCGGACTCGACGTACGCTAGAGTACCTGCTGCCTGGAGAGGTTGCCGGCCTGTCACTGGGCTTCCTAGACGGCTTCGGCTTCGGCTTGAAGGATGCCAAGACGCCCTCCGCAGATAGGACGTCGCACCCCGTCGTATTCGCGATCTGCTTGACGGCGTTGCGGTGCCGCATCATGTTGTGATACCCGCAGCAGTCGTCCACTATCGTGATCGTGTACCCGTGACTCGCAGCGTCGACGGCGGTGGCCATGATGCTGATATTGGTCATGGCTCCACATATGAATAGCTCCGTCACAAGCCTCATACGTAATAACCGAAGCAGCTGCTCTGATCGAAAGGCCGAGTAATAAGACTTGACGACCGAGTAGTCCCTGGACCCGACAGCCTCCTTTACTACCGGATGTATGTCTATCCCTGGCGTACCTGGCCGTACACATTTCGGAACCTTTGCACTTTCTTGTGTTAGGAAGGCCTCCGGACACTCGCAGGGCCCCTGTATTAGTTGCGGTGACGCTTGGCGGCGCCGACCCCTCGACATGTCAGGTGATCGAGGAATGCCCGACCGCTCTGATGTCAGGACTTGCTCTTCTAAAATAGACCGTGACTTTTCGAATCGGCTGCACACCCATATTACATCGCCGCCGCTCTTCCGGAACGACGTGGCCAGGTCCGCTATCCGCTCTGGGAGATCCATGGGGATCTTGACCGGCAAGGCGCCATCCTCAGACAAGAAGTCGTTCTGAGGGTCGACCACGATCAACGCCCTGCGGGTCGATAACGACGGGAGAAGACTCCTGTCTATAGGAAACATGACTGTGAAATGATCAAGGAACTCCCCGCTTGTGATATCTAAATCAAGAACTACCAAGTCACACCCGAGTTAGGAACAATGGACTAGAGAGCGGTAGTGGATTGGTTGATGGCTTGCTTGCTTACTTCTCTTTTGTCTTGTGTTTTACGAAATACCAGTTGCTACGACATGCTCGAGGAGATCAACCTCGAACTCGGACAACGCGAGGCGGCTGACGGAGGGCGTGACATAAAATATGATTTAGCTAAATGCTGGGATTTGTATCACTAGGGCTGTAGAAGGGCTTGGCAATCCGCGTTCGGGCAAATGTTTGTTGTAGGGCCAAGGGAGATCAGTCCACCAATACCAAGAAAAAGCGGCCAGGGTCAGCAGCGTGAGTGAATGCCGTGATTTGACGGTCGAGGTGGATTAAGATGACGAGAGGATATCATATGGGCGGAGAGAGCGAGTGAGCGATGTAAGTAGGTAATAAGAGAGCGAGAGTAAGATCCTTTTTTTTCTTTCTCTCCTCCGTCGATCAAGGTATTAAGTACAGTAAAATGGTAAGGCACTGAGATATGTACAAGTTTATAATCTGGGCCGAGCTATGTAGTATAGATTGAATAGATGAAGTGGTAGGGTCGGTCACAGGTCACAGACGACAGAGACGGGAAATGGAGAGATCGAAATAGGAAGTATGGGATGCAGGATAGGGCAGGGTCAGGGTTGCTAAACGGTCCTGATATGATGATGAATAGCCCTCTATGCATGTACGGTCATCTAATAACAGCTGGGGACGTATCGATGCATAACAAAACAACAGAGCGTTTTGGAGCGAGGTTGCTTGCGAGGTTGGGGTTGGATTGTGGCATACAAGCCTTTTTCGTTCAGGGTAATGTGGACGAGGGAACACAAGGGAATGGGGGAACAAAAGCGAAGGGGGGGGGGGGAGGGGGGTGTGAGGAGTAAAATGGAAAAATAAGTGAGCGAGCGAAGAAAGAAAGGGTAAGAGAGAAAGAAAATTGGGTGACATCGACCCCATCCTTTCCCCCCCCCCCCATTCTTGGACAACAACAATTTACAAGTTGCCTTTTCAAACCACATGGGAGTCCAGGGTATCTGCACTATTTTCAGCTCTTTTCAGTGGAAGACATTGTCGATCCTTTTTGGTAATGGTTCGAGTTGTAAGCCCATCGAATACTACATGTACTATATTTCTGTATCTCGGCTTTGATGTTCAGTTCAGTGAACAAAGCGAAGCAAGCAGGTCAATTTGGTTTTGTCACAGTGACGGCCTGTGAACTGTATGTATGTAGCCTACAGCACAGGCGCTTATACCCGATGTGCGCTTACATCCGATGTACAG